AATTTAATTAAATATATTAAAACTTTATAAACTTTAGCTTAATCTCTCTAAAAGCTACTAAAAAGAAATAACTTCTTTATAGCTATTATCTAGTTAATTATATATTATACTAATATATATATATATATATTATACTTTTACGCTAGTTATATTAAATCTTATAATATATATAATAAATCTTAGGCTTATAAAGACCTGTAAACTAACGCTATTATATATAACAAGTTCTTACTTCTAAATACATATATTATACTTCACGTGGTTCTTAAAACTATAAATAATATTAAAATATGAATAAATTAATATAAGTAATATTAATTACCAATAAACCAATTAAAAATAATAAAAGCGATAATACTAATTAACGTTCAGGGTGGTAGTGTGGCTAAAACCTAAAAATCCCGCATTTGCAGGGGTTTCAGCAAGGGCAAACGCAAATGAGTGCGACCCGCTGTTTTCATCTTTAATACTCGCATTCTCCTTGGCTTGACGGCCACCAATATTCCTCTTATTCGATCCGAACCCGCGGGTTCGTACGCCATCCGTTGTCCTTCCTCTCACCAAGGCACACCTCTGGTAGCGGTTCATCAACTGTCAAGATTAGCTGCCTGGAGAGATCCCGTCCGAAACATCAGACAAACACCCTCCTACTTAAGGTATTGGCCCCAGGCCGCCAGCCCCCACCGATCCAATGGCAACTCGACGATCCCATACAAAGAGTCGCAACGGCTGCAGGGACTGCAAACGGAGAAAAGTAAAGGTAAGCGACGTCTACCCATTGGCTCTGGTACCACGGCACGCGATGAACACGCGGCAACGTTATTTCACTGCGCCCGCCCTGGCGCAACTCTCATATTATCGAGCCAATGGAGCATGGTGTCACTGACTGCTCCAGTGCGACGAGGCATACCCGTCCTGCTTCAACTGTTCCAGACATGGCATAGTCTGCAGCCTGTCAACTTCTCGCAACTCTCCCAGCGACATCAACCCCCAACGGCCACCCGCCTCGTCTTCCGGCGATGGGTCAAGCCCCCGTTCTAAATATGGCTTCCTCGACGTGGTGGCAGACCGTACCCGCATGATCCCATCGGCACCCACCATTGAAATCTGGGGTCGTGGTTTGGAACTCATGCACCACTACACACTATCCACCGCCAACTCACTGGCCACTCGTCCTGACATGCAGTACTTGTGGCGCGTGAATCTCCCGGAAATCGGGTACGCGTGCCCTTTCGTGATGCACGGCATCCTCACCATTTCTGCCTTACACAAGGCCTACTTGATACCCGCAGAGCGGGAGGCGTATCTTAACCTCGCAACGGCACACCAAAATGCTGGCCTCGAAGGGTTTCGGGTCGAGCTGCACAATATCAATGACACCAACTGGCAAACGTTCTTCAGCTTCGCCTCCATCGTAGCCATGTACGTATCCTCCGTGCCTGTGCGCTTGGGCATCGAAACAGAAGCCATTCCGAATATCCTGGAGTTGTTTGTGTTTGTGAGAGGTATTCGTGCGGTGCTCGAACCATATCAAGGACGCCTGACCAAAACCAAGTTCGCCGCTTTGGTGTACGGTATCTGGACAATAGACCCCGAGGACGTCAATTACAGGTGAGTTGTAGACCCCGACATGAACACCTCCGATACACAAGACCTGTTGACATGCATTTCCACAGAAACCCCCCGATGCATCTGTCACCCTTACCCCCCGACATTTTCCAAGCATTAACAGAGCTTGTGACCTTCTTCCGAGAAAACCTCGGCGAAGACTGCCGCGATGAATACCTCAAGGCCGTCGAGGAGCTAGAAAAAGCCATCTACCTCATGGCGCATGCTGGTACCAACGTTGAGGTTGGCATGATCTTGTTCTGGCCGTACGTGATCTCGGAGAATATCATGACGGATATTCAGGGACAAAATCCGTTTAGTATGGTGCTGCTGTCCTACTTTGCGATCCCGCTGTGCGTGTTGGAGCAGAGGTATTGGTTCCTGCAGGGGTGGAGTCGGAGGCTGTTCGAGGTTACGGATACTGTTCTGGCGGAGCATCCTGCGTTGCTGGAGATGGTGGAGTGGCCGAGGAGGCAGGTAATTGAGCTTTACGGGCCGATATGAGACGCATGTTATTACCGTAAAATGTCAAAGAAATGACGGCGCAAATTGAGGCGAGGAAGTTCGCGGCGCTGTAGCCCATCAGGACTGCTGAGTCGTGAGTACCGACTGGCCTTCAAGTCCTATCTCCTCGCACCAGCCCAAAGGCTCCGGAAAAGTACTTCCCACACCACCACTACAACCTTGATCACATAATAAGCAGGCGGTAGTGAAGAGGTGCTCAAGACGCATGTGCTGTGTCACCCCCGCAATAGTTAAAAACAACGATTAATCTCTTTGAGCCCGACATTTGGGGACATACATGATAGATTACGCAGGAGACAAATATGAGTCATGGATCATTAATCAAGGCTGTGTAGAAATTACCTCTGTGTTTTCTATGGTCGGCGGTCTGCCCTGCTTGTGAACCTAGTTGTCTTAAGCCAGCCAGGGACTCAAGCCCGACGAGAGCTTACTCAATACCCTGCTTGCCTGAACGCCAACACACCCAAGAATTTCAATTTTCCAAACTCAGCTATTGGCACCGATGGCTCCCCTCCAATCTCCCTCAAGCACGGCGCCGAAAACACCCCTGATCGATCTACTCCATCGCACGCTTCAAGCCTGAAACTCCACGGCTCGTCGGCCCGACAATTTGGAGCTGAAGAAGTTAGCACACGGTCATCGCATAAGGTCCAGTGCCCGAGTACTCACAAGTCCGGGAAGTTCTCTAAGGGCTTGAAGTAAGGTCTGAACGATTCAGGATCCGGGAAGATTAAAGGTCTCTTGTGGCCTTGGGGCATGTTGTTGTTGCTGCAGGAGACCATGTCCGTCGACGGGGGCCAGCGCACGCCGCTGACGGTGCGGTCGGTCGCGTACCAGCAGTCGGCGCCGTCTTCGTGGCACTGTGTTTTGGGGTGGGGCGTATTAGCGATGTGAATGTTATGAGGGAGATCAGAGCGGTTTCTCCCTCGGGAGATACAGACGAGGTAGGGGATGGGGGGCTGCAGTTTGGGGCTTGTGTGGGTTGCTGATTTTCTTGTTCTGTGAGGGTGACGTACGAGATACTTGCAAGGCAGCGACCAGTTTGTATCCGGCCTCAGGGTGTTAATCATGACGCACATGTTAGTCTGTTTGTCGCATTTCTGGTGGCTGTCAGTCTGAGGTTTCTTTCGCTTTTGGGGGTCGTCTCCCGGTCGGCTTGAATGAAGAGGGAGTCTGGAATCGACTTACGCCGTAGAAGATTGTGCCTTTGACGGGATCGGCGTTTGCGCCGATGGCGAGGAGGCAGGCCCCGAGAATAATGGATGAGAGATGCATGTTGGTGGGGGTTGCGAGGACAATGTTGGTGGTGAAGAGTATGGAGATGGGAAGAGGCGGCTGCAAGATCCCCTTCCCTTCTAAACTCTTTTATAGACGTTTGCTGCCTGTAGGCACACTTCTGTGGCTATTGGATAACTCTAACCGGGAAAAGTCCTAGGGCTAGGATAACCTAGGCTTCGAAGAGAAACCTCTATGGCTACTTATCAGGCAGAGGGCGCGAGTTGCCTTGCCGGGGAAACTCTCTCTCTACAACGCCACAACTAATTACTCCCTTCAACATGAAGATGTCTTTCCCGTTCTATATCTTGAGATAGCGAAAGAGATTGAAAGATGTCTGGGTTCAGCGGTAAAAGTATGTGAATGAGGTTTGTTGAAACCTTTGAGACATGGAAAACTGTGTAGTTTGAAGCTGTTGCTTCTATCGAGTGTAGAGAGTTGACCGGGTGCTGGTAAAACTGTACCCATTTCTCTGAGACTAAGAGTTCTCTGGTTGGTTACTCACAACATCCATAAGCACACGGACCACCGAGAGAAGGTTGAAGAATTCAAAGTGCTATGGGTTCAGTCTTGAGGGTCGTCAAGGTCAGACAGACCTTGACCAAGTCTGGAGAAAAGCTAGACGGTAGTTGTAGTGCCTGAGGCATCACATTTGCCGGGCACTTTTTTGTGGCTGTCCTGTATGACTAAGGAATCGTAGGGATGCCATCGCGGGGCTTTTCGATGTTCTCCGCAACCGTGATTGAAACACACCGGATCGCAACCCTGGGACAACATCAGCCGCTAGCTAGCCCTGCAACCTAAGCCAAACCCTTGCGAACGAAGTCTCCATACTTGATAGGGCCGCTTCCATTCTGCGTCTCCGGCTATGAACATGCCCCATAATGTTGCCGACCACCACAACCAACAAGATGACCCCAACCCCGTCTCTTCCAACATGACTGTGAGTAAGGGACAAGGTGCCAATTCAATACCCACAAAGCTGGGATGGACAAACCGTGATTAGACAGTTGCTGTCCCCGGGAGCGCTAGCAGGGACCGGGTCTGTACCTTTTTTCGACGCCGCACGCTAAGGCGTCAACCCCGGTCGGCCGGCCGGTCCTGGGAAGCCCCTTCACGTCCAGTATCATTCGTTCTTGCAAGCCAGCCCTTTAGCCTGTCTGTCTCGTCGGGGGCGATGGACGACTCTGTTGTGGTGCGGTAGGCATTGTTCCACAGTTTCCAGAACGATTGTGGTTAAGAAACAACACTACGGTAAGTTCTCAAAGTCGTATGACTCTCTGGAAATATTTGGTAGGCACCGGACGTGGACGAACCAACGTGCATCTGGAGGCCCTTCTGACTTCCCAAAATTGGCTGCTAGCCCGCTCGTGCAGGTGGAGACAATACCAAACTGATGCGCTGTTGGCGAACGTTGCATCCCACAACCCGATGGTATGCAGCCAAGCCGCATGCCGGAAGAATCTGCGTCGACTATTTACGGGCATATATAGGGCAGACTTCTCTCCAATTCTTCGCCGACTTAACTTTTATTTGAACCTGGTTTGGGTCTGTGGAATAATTGTGTTGCTTCCCCAAGTCCAGCGTCCATTATGAGGTCTGTTTCGCTAGTCCTTCTGGCTGTCGCGGGCCTTCAGTGCCACGGTGCTGCTGCCATCTCCGCCACCAACACACATACCGAAGCTTGCACCAATCCTCTCATCAGACGCGAATGGCGACAGCTGTCTTTGGAACAGAGGCTGGACTACATCGACTCTATCAAATGTCTGGTGGCCCTTCCGTCCGAGGGTAACGACTTGTGGCCTGGCGCAAAGTCTCGGTACGATGATTTCCAGGGCATGCACATTTACATGACGAAGCAAGTCCATTTCAACGTGAGTGGAATCAGAAATCAGAAGTTATCAAACCCATACTTTAGAAGAAGTAAACTGATAAAGCCGCGTAATAGGGGCCGTTCCTTCCGTAGGTTTACAGAACACAAGTAAATCAATTTAGGCTTCTTTGCTGATGAATACTAGATGGCACCGCTGGATGCTGTATCTCTTCGAATCAGAGCTGCGCACAAAATGTGATTATAAGGGCACCCTTCCATACTGGGACATGGGTTTAGACAACACCGCCGAGGGCTTTGCCAAATCACCCGTCTTCGACAATGTTTATGGTGTCGGGGGAAATGGGCCGTACATTGAGGATGTCACTGATCCGGACGAGTTCCCCGTTCAGAAACTAATCGAGATCCCGGAAAGATCTGGAGGCGGCAAGTTTACCTTGAGTTCTCGTGCAGACACCCCCTAACTTAATGATCCAGGGTGCGTGCAAGAAGGACCGTTCGCTAACATAACCGTACCCATGGGCCTCGGTACATATTTCTGCTTGCCCTTCGAGATGAAGTCACTGGTGATGACAACGCTGACTACGTGATGCAGGTTATTCGGTCGAGTACACTCCTCACTGCCTCCGCCGTGATTTCAGCCTACCCATTATCACGAGCGCTCTTAGTGATTAAGTCATCAACCGGACTCTGTCCGCGACCCCATTTGACGAGTTTAACTTGCATATTCAGGGATACAGTATGCAAGTTAGCGGCATGACACTGCACGCGGGGATGCACTTGGGAATCGGCGGTGCAGTTGGAGATGTAAGCCACCTTCCGTACCTACTCAAGCTGTGAACTGTTGCCGGTGACTTTTATGAGCTAACTCAAACTTGTCCGACAGGTTGCTGATATGTATTCGTCGCCTGGCGATCCCATTTTCTACTTCATCCACGGCGCTCTGGACAAGATCTGGAACGAGTGGCAACGCATGGGTAGGTGACCTTCTGCTTGCTGGACCCCCGTGTCTCATCACCTAACTTTCATCTTTAATCTCCAACACCAATTGAAGACTCCTTGCTGACAGCAGTACTCCCATAGACTGGCCAGCCCGTAAGATGGACATTGGCGGACCTGACATTATATGGGCCTACTCTTTCAACTTCTTTGGAGACGTCGCCTACGAGAACATCACTCTGCAGTACCCGTTGTCTTTCCCGAACTTCAGTGGGAGCATGACTTTTGCTGAAATGATGGACATTCAGGAGGAACCCTTTTGCTATGAGTACGAATGAAGGAAGCGGGCCACTTCTATTCTGAAATAATCATTGTAGATTTCCATCTGAGATCATCGTGGCATTTCAACTCGACATTATGTCGAAGATACTTTGCTTCATCATTTGAAAAAGAAAGACCCATCATCCTCGTTGCAACCCCCATTATTGAGAACTTCAGCGCTCACACAAACCTTGAAACCCGGCGTGTGAAAGACACAGCCTACACGGTGCATTTAATCAAAGTATCCAAGAGTTTCATACATGTAAGCAACATCAGAAAAATAATACAGAGGTAGGATGGGGAAGGTGCACTGAAGTTGGTTCTTTCTCGAGCGCGCTAAAACTCAATGTCTAAGACATGACCCTTGCAGCTGCAGGAGGCCGACAAGGCGTTCCACTAAAGTGAGACCACATCCACACAGGAATTTCCGGGAGGTGACTTGCGAAATCTTGGCAACAAATGTATTTAAACACAGATCTGGTTCAATCAAGGCAAGTCTATCATAGTCTCGGTGTCTGGTTCCCTTTTCCGCAATGCCCTACACCTTGGAGGAGCGTCAACGAGTCTACCGGACCTGCCGGGCAATCTTCAGTGGCGACGCCGCTCTCTTCCGCAAGCCGAAGAAAATCAAAGAAACTCTTCTTCACAATCGCGGCCCTCTTAAGCATGTCTTCCAGGAGTTTGGCGAAGTTAAGCTCGCAGATATGGTGAAGAAGTTACTGGAGAATCGGCTCTTCGAGTCAGACCTACGAGCCAAAGTCGAGTTTCCTGAGCTTTTCAGGACATCCCCGCAACAAGATGCTCAGCGAGAAGCATCGGAAGCGGATGCGGCAAAATCAGTTGCAGAATGCCTTGGTGAGATCGCGCGCTTCGAAGAGGAGGAAGAGATCACAGAGGCGAATGATCTTGAATTTCCCACGAAACCGCTGAACGATGAAGTGAGCATTGAAGGTTTGTCGGAAGCCTTGGATCCAGCTAGTTAAGCTTTCCTAACACAATGACCCCAGAAACTGCTATAGTACCTACCTCACTCAAATCATCCATCCCATCGCTGTATCCATCTTACGTACCATACGGTGCACAACACGCCATTCTGACCACGGCTCAGACGGTCTTAGAAGAGTGTTGCTTCGATTTCGCTAGCAAAACCATTCCGGACGCCCTTAGTAAGAGAGGATGGGATTGCGCATCCGCGGTAGAGTTGACCAAGTGGGCCAGAACCCTCCACAAAGAGCTCCCCCAGGGCTTGTCAGGAGCAATTGTCCAGTCTGCATTGGTTTCGACTCACCAACTACGACATACCGCCGTCCACCGACTACGCACCACTGCTCGCGGTATCAGTCGGCTCCTAGAGTCGGCGGTGGGACTTGCAGAGGCTCTCAATGATGTCCCTCGCGCAGCTCAGTTAGAAGAGCTGAAGTCGGAGTTGGATAGCAAGATCAAAGCCATGGAAATGAGCAAGAACGTGTTGGAAGATCGTGCGGCAGCTGGGTTAGAAGAAATACGCCGCCAAAGAGAGGAGCTAGATCGCCAGGAAAAGCAACTTGTATTCGACATGTTGACTGAGGACCGCGAGTACAAGGACCTGGTGGGGAAGCTTCTTTTGGCATCAGTCAAGGACATCTTTGAGGACAGAACAGACGACGGAATAGGCAAGGAGGTGGAGCATGTGAATGGAGAAGTCCATGTCAACAGCGCCAAACTTAGCTCAGCGGACGAGAGCGAGGACGACCCGGATCTGTTACTGCAATAACCTTTGACATAACACTCGACAGAAAGTCGTGCCAAGCTCGTTAGATTGAACACCATCAAATTGTCTTATGCTAAAGTAGATTCACACACTGAACCAAACCTGTCGATAGAGTCAACTATGAGATCTGAAGCAGAGCCTCAAGTCCGCAGCAAGGGAACGGCTGCAAGTCCAAGGCTCCTCCGTCAAAGTAGGCGTTTTGCCCCTACAAAGAGCCAGGAGGTCCAGCCAAGCGCAGTAGGTATTACGGTTCTGCTAGAAGGAAGCGAAAATTTACGACAAGAAGGTTAGATCAAACCAGGAACAAATCGTTTAGTCGCAGAATGCCATCGCACCCACTTCTCTCCAAAGGTGTTCTTCAACATTTCCTCCTCGTCTTGTACCCTTACCGAAACCTTCCTCATTATAATCAAGGCCGCGACACCGTAGCAAATCAAACCCCATCCATCTAGCCGAGCCCGCAAGCTTTGGGAAATCCAACACCCGGCTACCCCATCCCAGCGGAACAAGTAAGCCAGGTTCGCCAATAAAACAAGCACTTGTCCAGTGTAGCCCGGATGCTGGATATATCGATACACCCCCGTCGTGGTAAGCCCGCTTGGCTCAGCGAGTTGAAACGTGAAATTCCTCCCAAGCTGGGCGAAAGCTAGAAGGCGAAGGGGCGCACCGATACCGATGATGAGAAACAAGCAGGTGGTTGAGTATCCGTTCCACGTAAAGAGATGGCGATTCATATTTTCGGGGTTGCGGCAAATGTAGTTGGTCGTTGGAGACGAGGACGCTATAATGGCGTGGGATATGCCAATGGTCACGGTAACAACGCGTCGCACGAATGATGCTTTGGGCGTTGCCCAAATGCCGAGACGGTCTTTCCCCCATTTATCTGTTGCCTCATTTGGAGCTCTGGAGCAGAGCGCTGTGAGGGCGCTGGCGACGATGACAGCCGTTGAGAATGAGATGGGCTGCCAAGATGACATGGCTATTGCGTGTACGGTGCCGATTCTAGAGAGTGATCGCAAGAGGTATGTCAATAAATACTTCGGATGATGGAAATTTACTAGATGAATGAGTGGGTAATGAGCGCAGAAGATATACGTTTGTGGTCTGAAACGACTTCACCATGTGAACCTAGGCCGAGGCGGCGTTCGGAGAATTAAATGCCGTCTCCGGTCGGCGTTGCGGCGTTCAATACCGGTCTATCCGGCTCTCGGTCCCACTCCCCCGCTAACGTCAACTCTCAACTTGCACTGTCGCCATCTCCGTCTCCGGCTGAGATATCGTTACTTTGAATGACTTACCAAATATTCACTGGCATTGAAAGGGGAGAAAATCTCCGCACGGTGGCACATGCAATCCCGTAAACGACATGCCCAGTACGGCACGGCTTGTTCTGAGTGCTCGAAGATCAAATCCCGCTGCATCGCCACTTCTCCGGGATCGCCCTGTGAAAGGTAACTTCCGAGCTATTTCAATCGGATATGGTGACTCACCCTGGTCAGATGTCAACGCCTGGGAAAGGAATGCGTCGCATCAAACACCAAGCGGAAGCAAAAGAGCACGGCGAGCGACGGGCCGTCTCAATCCAGTCAATTGGAAGCAAAGATTGATGGCTTGGTCTCTCTAATCACAAACAACACCCACGCAAAATCTATTGGGTCAGTGCTGAGCCCAGGCAATATTTCGCTGCCAGTGACGCCATCGCGGCAGGCCGACAGTGATCTACTCTCATATGTCATCGGGCTCTCCTCATCAATCAACGAAGACAACATCCTCTCAGACTTTACTCAAACCCATTACCCTCATCTCCCCTTCCTATCTCTCCCATTTAATCAATCCCCAAGCTCACTGCGCCAAGAAAAGCCCTTCCTCTGGCTCTGCATCGTTGCCGTCTCCCAGGCCCACACACTCCCACAAGCAGTACTCAACGACAAGATCCGGAGTGTAGTAGCGCAACGCATGGTTCTCAACCTAGAACGAAGCCTAGAGCTCCTACAAGGCCTTCTCATCTGCATAGCATGGTAATCGCTCACCACACCAAGCATTACCCTTTGGTCATTATCTCGGACACTGCTAACGATCGCTTTATATTCAAGGGGCAACTTCCAAGTCCACCAACGCCCATTCCTAACCCTTTTCACCCAGCTTGCAAACACAGTCGTCTTTGATCTGGGGTTGAACCAGCCGCCGCAGACTATCCCCGAGGCAATGCTACGGTTGACCATCCACCGGCCTTGGCTATCTGCCACCCACACAGTCGAGGAGCAGAGGGCCTTGATTGCGAGTTATTATCTCAGCTCCATGTAAGTTCACTCCTTGCCGTTTTCTATGACGTAAAAATACTTGGCTGATATTATGAGGGCCAGCGTTTCGTCATACATGCGCCGAACGGACAAGCTCCTCTGGACGCCTTACATGAGCACCTGTCTAGACGAGTTGTCAAGCACAGGCGTACCCGGAGATCTCACACTTGAATCGATGGTCAAGATTCGCAAAGTCCTCGAGAAGGCCTTCTACTCCCCTCCAAACTCAAATACCTCAGCTCCGGAAACCCCATCGAACTTCGTCGCTTTAGTGCTGAAAAGCGAGCTGAATGAGCTCACCACCGAGGAGCCTTGCCCTGCAGAAAGTCTAAGTAGGAATCCTCATGAGCAGATACGAGCTTCGACGGCTGACACATGGGAGCAGTAACATCATGCCACCTCACCTACGCCCCCTTCGCCATCTCGGAATTCGCCTTTTCATCCTCATCTCCAGACCCACAGTATTTATACAACACGTATCAGGCCCTCGAATCCTACTTCAACGCTCTCCTTCCCTTCCAACCAAGCGCATATCCGGGTTTCACATTAGCGGAGCTGTACCAGATGATGCATGCTACCCTCTCGCTGCGCAAACTCTCGTTCCGGCTCACGACACGGGTTTATGACGAGGACCGTGTAGAGAAACTTGCAAGTTGGTATCGGCAGGTAAGTCAAAATCTCAAAGATGCGTCGAAGTGTTCCCCGCAAAAGAAGGATGGGAGGGCAGCGTTATTTGGCAAGTTGGCTGGCATGCTGGAGTCTTTTAATTGGGGGGACAAAGAAAGACCTGAGCGGCGGTATGATAATGACTTCAATATGAACGGGGTAGGGGGTGAGGCATTTCTTGGGGAGGAGTGGCTGGGATTGGCGGATCAGTTTGAATGGACATTTTGAAGGTCCATCAGCCTCTAATATTCTCGCTGATGAGGGTATTCACAAAAGCACTATCACTTTTCTACGTACTCACGCTTTTCTCTATAAACGCTGGCGGTTTCAACTTCATCGGACATCGCGTTGCTCTCACTTCGCTTGAGTAAATGATTCGTGGGTTGGTTACGTCCAGTCTCTTTGATCTCAAATATCGCGGTGTACCGTGTACGTGCGAGACCACGGCCGCAAGCTACTAAGACCAGCACAGTCTGGCTAAGCCATCATTGCAGCCGACTCGAGGAACTTTTCAACACGTGTCTCATCTTCTGTCTCAAGACCTGGTCATATTTCAATTGGGTTTCTTCATTCATAGATGACTCGATCTCCGTGATGTCTTGGGTATCAAGTCCAGGCAATAATTGCCGAGACGGCCCCGTAAACCTGCATCAGACTGTATTCAGTTCTTGGGCTCAAGTCTGTGATTGGCCGGTTAGACTGGTCCTGCAGACAACCCCGGAGGCAGTCGCGGATCGTTTCCGCAAAACACCAAGAAATTAGATCAGGCTGAGCAGACACCAAGACCTAAACCCAACATTCCAACAAATATCAGCTTACATCCTCAACATTGTGCTTGATTTCCACCCCCTTTTCTTTCGGTGTCTCATTCACAAGATCAAGGTTGGGTACTTGCCATGCAGTCGTACATCTATCAACCGTTGCCGCGCGGATTCATCCGTCTACTGCGCTTGAAGCCTCACGAAGATGCAGACGCCCCATTGCAATGCGAGCTCTTCCATTACCCCCTCACAGATGACAGGAAAGGAACTCACCTGTATGAGGCTCTATCCTACTGCTGGGGACCTCCCAGTGAAAGCCAGAAGGTCTTCACCGGTACAGGGTATCTACAGATCACCGCCAATCTACACGCAGCGCTCGCACGTCTTCGAGACCCTTTTCTTGAACGCGTCATATGGGTAGATGCGATCTGCATCAACCAGAAAGATGCCGATGAAAAGGGCCACCAAGTGCAGCTCATGGCAGAGATCTATGCCAGAGCAAGTGGCGTCGTCGTGTGGCTGGAAGAGGTAACTGGCGATACCCAGCTCGACCTTGTTGCGCAGGCCGAAAGCCACCGGGCGCTCCAGGTCATAAGTCTTGCTGTAAGCGAGGCGCCCACGGCCACCTCTGGCAATGTGGAAGACGGCGCCGGAGTTGCAAAGCTTCTTAATCGGAACTGGTTCAATCGCATATGGGTAAGACGACTTCCCAAGCCTGGGCAAAACGGTCAAGAATAACAATACCTGTCAGGTCCTTCAGGAGGTGGCCGCCTCTCGGCATGTTCTCATCATGTGCCATCTCACGGAGATGGATGGACATGCGTTTTGCCAAGGTCTAAGTGCGATAGATCTGAGTTCATTGGATAGGACCACACAAACGCAAGCTCGTTCGGCCCATCTATCTCATCAAATCAGCAACTCTTCGGCCCAAACAGACACTCCACACTCCCGGTGTCTTTTCTCTGGGCATACGTGCTCTCGGAGAATTGATTGACCTGTACCACACGCGTAATGCAACCGACCGTCGAGACAAAATCTACGCCCTCCTGGGAACGAGCACCGACGCATATCCCGAACTGAAGCCTGATTACCGCATATCGTGGAAAGACCTATTCTGCCGGCTCGTCAGAACCTTCGTCCCAGAGGCTGCCTCGGTATCTACTTGGAATGGTTGCGAAACAGCATTCATCCAGACAAAGGGACGCGTTCTTGGCACAGCATCGTCCGTGGAAACCGGAATTCCGTGGGACGATGCTCAGACCGTGAACATTGTCGAGTTGCAGGATGTGCCTGGACTTCAGAGCGGCTGGATAGGCCGTTGGACTGTCCGGGCCGCGGCAAAGCGTGCCGGAGAAGGTGACATCATCTGACAAGGGCTGTGACGCCGAACATGGCAGCGCTGTGAAAGAGGAGACTGACACAGAAAGCCGAACGGAGCCCCTCAAATCCCTGGATCATTCTGCAGATGGAGCAGAATCGGACGTCAACTTTCTTCTAATATGGGATTGGGAGGCTTCTCGCGGTGAACCCGGCCCTGAAGCAAAGTTGGATGACTTCCTTCAGGAGAGAGCCATTGACTACGCAGGGCCATCGGAAGGGGTCCGCCTGAGAGAAGTGGGACTACTCTACTCGAAAATGGGCTATTTTTCCAAAGCAATCGATCGATTTGATTCTGCAATCGAGGTCTTCAAGAAGACCTCCCAGATAGACTGCGCCGACGCACTTGCAGTCATGGACCATCTCGTCCGGATCTACCGCAAGAGAAATGAGCGTGGAGACGACCAAAAGGTCAAGGCTATACAAAAAATGGCCGAGATTGCGGTGTCCAGAAGAAGCTACGATACCACAGAGGCCAGTCTCGTAGGCCTCGCATCATTCCACGACACAAAGGCCCTCGAGATCTTGCTCGACACGCCAGGGCGTCACATCGAAATTACCGATAACGTCCTCGCAGCGGCAGCGTCCAACAACGAATGCGGCGGTTACATGATGGACCTTCTCCTTGATCGCAGAGATGAAATCGTCATCACCGAGAACGTGCTCAAAGCGGCTGTGGGGAACCCAGGGACGGGCTCATTCGTGCTTAAACTCCTTTTCGAGCGCAAGACGGACCCTATAACTGTCACGGAGGATCTTGTCTGGGCAGCAGCAAGGCAGGATGTCTGGACAGCCACAACGGAGGAGGGGGAGATTAATGATGTGCTCGACATGTTGAGAGTTCTCTTCTCATGGAAGGGGTGCAATCCCGCTCTAGGCCGGGAGGGTGCGGCGGAAATCTTTGCGCTGGAACGTTACCTACATGGAAGCAATGCTTTGGATGGCATCTATGCATTTCTGCTTGGAAAGCAAAATGGGCTCATCACCATCACCGAAGATATTGTTGAAGTAATTGTGAACAGATGTAGGGAAGAGTGCGATCTTACCGATGTGGGTTGCAGCCATTGCCGTTGGAGCCAGTACGCGATCGCCTGGCTTCGTAACCGCGTGTTGCGTACGCTGTTCAATTGGAAGGGGGGGGGGGGGGGGGGGCAAGTGGTGATCGCTGACGATGCTTTGTTGCCATATGCAGAGGGTTCTCGTTATCTGGAGGAAATCTGGAAATCAGATCCTGAGCTTCCTTACTGAGCAAAGCTTCGTCTAGATAGGAATGAAGCTTTGCTAGCCTGAGCAGCGTCCAGCACAGCCGACAAGGCTGGATGATACGCATCGGAACAATCCTCATCATCCAGAAAGAGGTATTCGTTACTCAGCCGTTCCATTGCTCAGCTATTCCCCTTGGGATACACCCACCAAAAAGCCCGAGTAAGAAACAGTCACATGTCGAAAGTGAGGTTCGAAAGTCACAAGCATGCCTACTAACCTGTGACGGCAATACCGTTAATGGCTCAGGCGACTAGATTGATAAGCCCTCACTCCTGATCAAAATTTTGTGTCAAGGGAACTATTGATGTTGAGGTATACATGTCAATCAGCGTCACTTTCCATCATGTACGACGCGAATTATAGGGGCGGAACCACTAGTAACTTCACTGGGTACGAAGTAGCATGACCACGTTGAAATTGCAAATCTTATTCATTGTTGAATGCAAAGAGGAAATTACGTTCCCGTTGCCAATGAAACTCCGGGCCTATGTATGATGCCGCAAAAAAAGGAGATAGAAGTCGTAGCTAATCCGTCCCAAGAAGAAATGACAAACTAAACCGACTTCGACACAATTGGATATCCACGACGTCCATCTCATGAGTTGCGCTAAACTCCTTAAGTCACTTGACCAAGGAATGCCATTCCCTTTAACCTGTACGCCAGAAAACCCACATTGGTTCATACCGTGCCTCCCTCTAAGTCTGCTTCGCCTCGCTGAGGTTTCGCAATAATGAGATCGCTCCCCGGCGGGCTGCAACTGGGAGTCCGAGGCTCCTATGCCCCGCCAGCGCTTGCCGCCATGGGCTGCTTGGCTCTGCGACCAAGCAGGGTTGCGCCGTCCAGGTTTAGCTCGAAAGCGCCCTTTTGCCTGTTGCGATCCCTGACCTGCTGGCGAGCTGCGGCGGTAACTGCAGCAGAGTGCTGACCATAACCCTTCTCGGTGTGGTGTGCTTGTCGTTCGCGTTCGCGTCCGCGCTGCTGCTCCTGTTGATCCTTAATCTGGGCGTTGCGCATGCTCTGCTCCAGTGCTTGCGTTGCCTGCGTAGGCTTATGCACATATTCCGCGTCCTTATCTGGCATCTCCTGGTCCTCATCCTCAGACTCTTCGTTCAGGTTGTTGAGGAAACGAGCGGGGACACCGCCCTTGGCACCAATCTGCTTGCGCCTCTTGGCCTCCTCCTCTTGTCTGTGGACAGCGTAACCAACGTCGAAGACCTCGCGCAAGTTGACGGCTCCAGGAGATCGGAAGTCGTAGCGGCGTTCACCATCTACGAATTTAGATGCGTCGAACGCACGAAGCATCTCGGGCTGTGCCTTCTTCTCCTCACGGGGTGTGGGGCCTGATCCCTTGATCCACGGGTGAGCCAAAAACTCTGTGATGGTGTATCGCTTCTCGGGGTCGACGGTCAAGAGGTGGGAGATGAGATCCTGCGCGGACTTGGAGATGTCGTCCCACCAAGGAGACAGGAAAGTGTACTGTCCCTTGGCAACCTTCTCAGTCAAGACCTCGATGCTCTCGTCGTAGAATGGCGGGAAACCGCAGAGCAGGGTGTACAAAACGCAGCCGAGTGCCCACATGTCGACAGACTTGGAGTACCGCTCATCCTTGACGATCTCGGGAGCTGTGTAACCGACCGTTCCACATGGCGTCATTGTCTGATTGTCCCAGACGATCTTGGAAAGGCCAAAATCGGCGATTTTGATCTGGCCGATACCGCCAGCGCCGACGCCGGGAATGAACTCGCCCTCGTCGACCTTGTCTTCGTCACCAGGCTGCTTAGGCTTTGGGTTCTTCGACGGAACGATGGGAATCGGGCTGAACAGAATGTTCTCGGGCTTGATGTCACTGCGAGATGAATTGTCAGCAATCGCCTCAAAGATGACGTCAATGCATCACGGGAGTCATGTTCCGTCATTCTGACGGAATTCGAGAGAACAGTCCGCAGTACTACTTACCGGTGAACAACGCCTCTCTCCTCGTGCAAGTATTCCAAGGCCTTGGCCACCTGGACGATAACATGCCTTGAAAGCTCCTCGCTGAAGTAGGTGAGTCGAACGATCTGGTGGAAAAGCTCGCCGCCAGGTGCCAATTCCAGGATGATGTAGTAGTATTGTCTTGATTCGGAGAAATCGATGAGCTTAATGATGTTGGGGTGGTCCAGCTGGCGCATAATCTGGACCTCTTTCAGGATATTCGCTCTCTGGCCTCAGGTCAGTAACGGCGTCTATGATCTACATGGAGGGCCATCCTCCGAACATTGAACAGAGCAACAAATGAGTCGAAGAGAAATTGAGGATGGCCCGATGTGTAAACAAATGAAATATTGAAAAGTTTCGCACCTCTGCGGCTTTGGGGACTTTCTTGAAGTCCGGGTGAAGATGCTTGTTACCCTAAATCGGCCTTTGTTGGTATGGAGCGATTGGAAAAACCGACGTACGAAAAACAAATGCACGAAGCAAAAAAACAAGAAAAACATGGCTGCGGCCGAAAACCACCCAAGCATCAACTCACCTGCATGCTGTTCATTTCGTACTTGCGGACGACCTTAATGGCGCATTCGCCGCCATGCTCGCCTGTTGTGTCTTTCGCGCGGTAGACATTGCTGAAGGCACCGTCGCCCATCTTCTCTACCAGTTCCCATCTCTCGAGGCCGGGGTATCTTGGGAATTTGCTCTTGCTCTCATTCTCTTCGGCGATGATCTTTGCGAGGTGCGTGTTGTCGATGTTCTTGGACTTGGCCTTGTTCTGGTTTGGCTCGACGGCGTGGGCAGCGGCATGGCCGGCTTGAGCGGCACGGTTCTGGCCGTCACCAGCAACCGAGTATGCGTCGGGAATGGCTGCCGCCGGGGGAGCGCCGACGTGTGCTGGCTCGGAGATACCCATGTGTGCCTTTGGTGGAGGGGAGTTGTGTGACTTTGCTACTGCCTCGTCATTGTTCGCTGCGCGGGCTTGCTTGCCTACAAATATCGTCAGTCATGTTTCATCAGAGAGCAGCGAGTGGAATTTTGAGGGTTAATATGGCCAAACAGCGGTCGCGAGCAGCGGCGGGGAGACGAATGAGGGGCAGCGGAGAATATCGTACCGTGGCGGATGAAGTTCTTGAGTTGTTGTATCGTCGACATGTCGGCGGAGGGGGTCACTGATGGGCAGCGACGGGAATATGAAGATATTCGCCGGGTCGTATCGTTGTTCGCAGGTCGCAACGAGTGGCAGCGTGATCAGTCTCGCAGCCCCGGATTGAGGGGTGTCTCTTTCTTGTGATTGGTAATGCGGAGCGAGTACGAGTCGTGGAGAGGAGAGGAGCTCTGTGCAATGTGCTACATGCAGTACCAGCCAGGTGGTTGTGGAATGGAAGTCGACTCGGGAGGACAGGAGAAAGTATCGAGAGAGGGAAAAATGCAAGGTTGTTTCTTTGATGTTCGGGGGGAAAGGGCGGCTGAAAGGGAGAAATCGAAGCGAAAAGTAGAGATTTGTGGACTGCGGGCTGGGTGGTGGTGATGTTGCTGAGGGGCAACGTGGACTCGGATGACGGAAGTTGGAGGAACAGGACGATCGGGCGGGAAGCGGGCTGGGGCACGTTTGTCTGCGGCGTCTGGAATTGGAACTGGGCCAAAGCAGGCGTAGCGTCGGCGGCGTGCGTGCAAGGACAGGTCGGTAGCGTAGCGTGTATTTTTTTGCCCTTGGTGGTGAGGTAGGTAAGGTTGTTTAGCGCGGTGCTGCGTAATTGAGAGCGAGACCAAGCAGGGTGGGAAGGGGGAATTTGTGACCGGGGGGGTGGAAGGTTTAGGTAGACAAGGCAAGGGCCAAAGCCTGGCGATGACGGTGTGCGGTGCGCAGCGACTGGATTTTGGGTCCTCGGTAAAGGTGACCGATGATGACAGAGGTGGGAAGGCAGCGTAAGATTGAGGTGTGTGAGAGACGTGGAGGGTGTGAGCGTGAGGGTAGGTATTTCGAGTGTGTGGTGCGGTGTGTGTGGGAGGTTGTGAGGTTCTGGAGACTGGACTGGTTCAGTTCAGGTGCAGATGTGCAAGGTGCAGGTTCAGGTTCGGAGGTCGAACAAGTCGAGGTATCCGTACAGGGACGAGGGGGGGAGGTGCAGCCAGACGCCGGGACGAGAGTGAGGTGCAATGGAAGTTGGAAGGCGCGCGAGAGTCGGGTGCGAGGAAGAGAGGGAGAGGAGGAGTGGGAGAAGAAAGGGAAGAGCAGACGAGGATTCAGTCAGTCTCAGTCATTCATTTGGCAGGAACAGCAGCACCGGGCAGTCAGTCGCCAGTGGCATCAGTGGAGAAAGAGCAGCTGGAGCAAGAGCAGGAGCAGGAGCAACATCAACGACAACCTCAGTGAGTCAATCAAGCCAAGCAGGAACGCCTCAGTCAGTGCACAGACACCGACAGCCTCAAGAACCGACGGCAAGAACCTCACTCACGATTGGGAAGGCGACGCGGGCGGAGGCCTTCTCTCCCTCCCTTTCCCCCTCAAGCCTCAGTATTTTTTGCTGTTTCTTGCAGTGCTGTCTCGTCTCGTCTTGCCAGGCAGGCAGTCAGTCAGTCAGTCAGGTGTGGTGGGCTGCGCATTTGCATCCGCGCCAGCCTGCACCTGCACCTGCACCTGCAGCGTCGCCCCAAAGCGGGTCATTTCTTCTGGACGCTCTAATGGCTGAATGGCTGGAGCAGGCGCATTTCTGGGCACTTTCCAATATGGACGGTAGGATGGGAGGCAGGTACTTTTCTAGCTCTTCCCTCGCAGAAACTGGCGACTGCTCCTCGTACCTGCCCGCCCTCTTTCTCATTCATCATGAAGTCGTCACAAGGAAAGTACCTCCTGGGTGTTCCTTCCCTTCGGCTGCTGACTGATCAGCACCTTCCGCATCCCCAGCTTCTTTCTTCTCAGATGAGTGACCGTGATGTTTTCATCAAAAACCGGGCGTTTCATGATCGGATTGCTTCCATCATCGGTGGTCACTCCGAACCCCAGACCCATTCGGTCACTTGCCGGG